AATTCTCTTAAATTGCTGGATGCTGTATACTAGCCTCCTTTTGCCTCCAGCTCTTTCTACTTCTGGTTTTTAGCATGATTTGGGGACTACATGCTGAAGTTTCCTCTGGGAAGACATAAAATAAGAACCTAAAATGTATTCTGAACCATTTGGATCGCTCATAAATATGTTGTCAGTTGCAATGTCATGCCCAAACCATCACAACCCCATGGACAACATTCCTCCAGGCCATGGGTCCTCAACCGACAGCTCGCGGGACGGATCCAGCCCGCCATGGCCATCCATCCAGCCCACGCTGCTGTTCGCCGCACGCACCCAGCTTGCTGTGCAGGCAGGGAGGTGGTGGCTTGCTCACCTGGAGATGGTCTCCGAGCAAGCAAGCTGCCGCCGCCTGCCTCCCATACCTGCACTTGCAGGTGGGGAGGTGGTGGCTTGCTCGCTCGGAGATGGTTTTGGACTCACTGGCAGATCTACGAGCAAGTGAGCCACCGGTGCGCGCACCCGATGCCGCCTCGCGAGCGCCTGACGGCACCTCACTGGCTCGCGACGGTCACCGCAGCCTTTCAACTGGCCCCCTATTGAAAAGGTTTGAGACCGCTGCTCCAGGCTCTCCTGTCCTCCACCATCCCTCAGAGTCCACCCAAGCTCACATCCACTGCCCCAGTGACTCCATCCAGCCACCTCATCCTCTGCCATTCCCTTCTCCTTTTGCCGTAAATTGTTCCCAGCATCAGGGTCTTCTCCAATGAGTTGTTCCTTGTCATTAGGTGGCCAAAGTATTTGAGCTTCATTCATAAATTATAATATTTGTAAAATTAAAATTAAAAGTAGTGCATTAAAACAACAATTATATATTTACTGAGTTTACTTCTATTTTAATGATAATTTTATGAACAAACCAAGTAACACATAATATATTTTATATTTGTAACATAACAAAATGACTTTAGACCTGTAAAAAGCACTAAAAAGGGAATATTTTCACTGTATTTTAAAAGTGAAGTATGCATCACTTCAACCATACCAAAATTAAATTCCCAACAGACCTAAGAAAAGTTGAAAAGAGAAACAATTCATTTTAGAATCATTCAAAAGTGCAGTGAATATAGAACGTTTACAGGAACTTACTTATTTACCCAACCCCCTGCAAACATTGAGATACAACAAGGGCCCTCTTCTAAGTGCCCCCACCAAACAACATGAGGTGAGTGGCTAAAAGACAGGGACTTTTCACTTGTAACGTTGCATTTGTGGAATGCTCTTCCTAAACAGATTCACCTTGCACCTATGCTGTGATCTCTGACCTTTTCAGACTCCTTGGACTAATGCTATAAATCAGTGTACTGGAACAGATGAAATATCAGGAACTGAGCAACCATCCAAAGGGAAATACAGTAACACCCAGGACAGTAAGGAATAAGTGTGTCAAGCACCACATGCCACCAGTGGGTAGGGCTGCACGAAAAAGTGGGCAGGGCCACAGACCGCACCTGAGTGTATGGTTCAGCCCACTTTGTTGATTGCGTAACCTCCCTTGTGGCCTGGGGGAATGCCGTTGTTATACTATATCTTGGTATCAGCAATGTTTTTGACAACATGCCCAATGACACTATGATCAGAAAACTAGCCATAAGTGAGCTAGATGGAACTATCAGGTAGATCCATAGTTGGCTGCAGAATCCAGACAGGGGAGAGCTAACAAGTGGAGCACCACAGGGTTCAGCCCTGGGATTATACTCTTTGACATTTTCAGGAATGACTTGGATGAAGAGGTGCAAGAAATGCTTGTCAAATTTGCAGATAATACGGAAGGAATGGGACAGCTAATCCCCTGTAAGAGAGGAAAATTTCAAAGGGATCTTGATAGCCTGGAGCACTGGGCTGACCAGAGATTTCTCACAGGTCATATGCATTTGAAGGCTGGAGGGCCCCCAGATCTGCTATAGGTAAATGTGTAAAAAACTGGAATATTTATTTTTAGTCTGAGGAAACCACAGTTTTGATAAATGAATGGACAGTACATTTCCCACTGGAAAAATTACCAAATATACATTGGATAGACAAAGAAAGGATTTTTTTAAAAAATGTATTTATTTATTTTTGCTATTCTTAATTGAGGTCAATCTCAACTGTGGTCAGAACTGGATCAAAACCTAACCCAGTTCCGATCTTAAGTGTTAGTATTCAGGATATTCCTTTTCACTGAATCTTAATCTTCCAAGCAATTTTACCATGTTGCTTGTTTAAAAATTGGATATCAAATGTACTTAATCCACAACACTCCTTCCTTCCATTACAGGAAGACTAACTTTGGCTTCAATGCAGCCCAGCTCTGCATGTTTAGGATTCTTCTCTCTGTTGCCACAGCTGACACTATGGGAGTGACCCATTTCATATTGATGCAAATCACACAAGCATAAATCTACTGAGGTTCAGCTCAGCTGTCCAACTCAGAAAACAGTCCAAGTACAAACAGAAGTTGAAGATAACATAATTCATAAGAGATGTCAGGGACATTTGCACCACAATAATTGATTATAAAAACATCCTTACTCACAATTCTATGTTTGTACAATTTAGGGGTTTTCCCCTGAAGTTATGATACTAATGAGACTCCCTAGTAAGTTCTGTAATATAAAAAACAACGGGTACACTGCTGTTATTATATGAAGATGATGCGTGCAATAAAAACCCAGGATTATAAATCTGCATCCCCTACTTGCTTGTTAAGGATAAATTTAACAAGTAAGTAGACTTGTTAGGAATAAACTTCTTGAAGGAATAGACTGATTTAATCTAAAGATCCTGATCAGTCTGAATTCTGGAGAACAAGCCAACTTTTCTGTTTGCTTTGTTGGAGATTGGGGAGGAACACAATGCGAAATTCCAATATATTTCTGCATGATCGCTGCCGAAGTATCAGCATCTGTACTCTCCAGGTTACAGCTTATAACTGGCAGGGGCCATAGAATCTCTCAATCCATGAAATGGGTTTTTAAATCTTTACTAGTTTGCTCTTCAAATGTCTCACATGTATAAGAATTTTCTTCTTTTAGTTATGACCTAAAAGGTCTTGCTGTCTTTCACTTGTTTCTTTGTTTATTTTTTAATTCTACTGCTGAATAATGTTGGTATTCCAAATATTCCATTCTTTTTTAGCTAAAATGTCTTACCTATAAAAATTCTCTGGAATAGCTGTGTTTTTGAATGCAATTCTATTAACACATCTTGCTTTCTGGAAGTCTTACCTTAAACACAGTGAAACACATGGTACAAAATATTTCATAATTAGAAGACAGGCTTTTGAAAACATTTCACAACTACCAATATATGACAAATCTGACAATCCGCAACTGAATAAGCAAATATTCAGTGAAACAAAGAATATTTATATTGTGAAGTATGTACAATTCAATTCCAACCATACTCTACATTAAAAGGGTTCACCTTCATCTTTTACCAAGTAGCAGAAAACAGCTGTCAAAGAGAAAGAGAGGGCACGAGCACATACATGTGTCTGTGGGGCCCAATTATTTTCCCTCCCACACTGCAGCAAGACCACTGTGTAACTCAGAAAGAATGGACCATATATGGTGGGCAAGATTAATGGGGAAAACCCTATCCTAATGCAACATTCAACACTTAACTGGCTTCCCACACCATTTACTACAAGTTTGAAAATATTAAGTAGCAAGTCAGCATTATCCTTTAGCTTATTAGGCTCAATATACTATCACTCCAGTTAGAAGACTTCAGGGTTAAAAAGGGGTCAGTTTTTAAGAAGCTTTCACACACTATTTTGGGACAGGGGTGGCTGACCCAACAAATCCCAGTGTGAGCTAGCAAACACATGTAATCTGACTTCAGTTCAAACTGCTTCTTATCCTATCCATACCAAACCTTATGCAAGAACTAGAGTAATTTAAGGATGAAAAGTGTGCTTCAGTAAATGCAACTAATAGGAATCACAAAGAGTATTAAGTTTTGGAAGCTATATATCTGAATCAAATATAAATTAACTGAGATATAATTACAATAAAGTAGCTGTTAAAATTATGATTGTTTCAGGCAGTGAATTTATTTTGGTATTGACATATCCAAGAATATTTTATTGTTACAGATAGCAGAAGTGACCACATATTGCAAAACCATAATATATATGAACATCTAGAACACCTTTCTACCAGGCCAGGTTAATATTTAAAATTCAAACAAAAATCAGTGATTTTTTTTTACCAAGAAAGCAAGAAATGTAGGCAGCACCATGAAATCTGAATTGGAGAAAACTGGGCAAAGGTCTCCACCGGGAGATTAATTAAGCCTTAGCTAGAATACTTCAGTACAGTACCTAGACATTTTGAGCAAAGTTCCCTTCATTTTCAGAACAATTCTAATACACAAAGCCATGTGCCTAGAAATGTCCTGTTTGACAGAACTTTGCATTCAGGTTGTCAGTTATGTATGTACGTATTTATTTATAACATTTCTATGCCGCCCCATTCGCAGAGCCTCGCAAAGAGTATAACGAATGTCCATGAAGCCAGCTTCAGAGACAATGTTAAACCATGGTTCAGTGTGACACACATAGCAGTGGGGCGCTGATGAGCTCATGGCACATTTATATAATACCAAACCATAGCTTTGAGTTATTTATGTAATACCAAACCATAGCTTTGAGTTATTTATGTAATACCAAACCATAGCTTCGCGTTATGGCCAAACTAGGCCTTTGTCTGGGCTAAACTGTCTCCATGGAATTAAAGAATAAGGGAATAATTATAGACTACTCTGTAGTAATTTGCAAGGCTATATAATGTTTTAAGGTTTGGCAGGCACTGGACAATTTGTTTTTAGCAAAGCATCTTAAGAATACAACTATCTAAATAGATTCAATATGTTATATGACCATATAGAAAATTCCAAGCATATCCACAATGTATGAGTTCTACAACTCCCCAAAGGCAAAAGAAACTTAATTTCATTATCTTTACATTACTTACCGAAAAATAGGAGTATGGCCAGGCTTTGGTTTGTTCCAGGTAAAATGTGAAGGAACAGAAAGAAATTGGTCACCAGACAAGTCTTTTTTTAATGCATGTTGCGATCCCGAGCTATCATCTATTGCAGTTTCAATGGATGGTGATAAGCTACCCTGTTCTTCAGAACAAAGCTCTATTTTTCCTGTTATGATGGCAGTTTGATCCTCAGAGGTCTTTCTTGTTTTGAGAGGGATGTCGGTCTCTGCACAACACTGAAAAGGTGAGAGGCCAGAAGTCGGACCATGGAAAGACGAATTTAGCCATGTATCTTCTGTTATACTTCCCCTAGGAGAGTGTCCTGGTGATGGAGTTGGAGAATGGTGAGGAGAAAGTGAACCAATGTAACAGATCTCGGCACTAGAATGGCGCCGCTTCCCACATGGTGATGTAGGCCTTGATGATGGTCTTGAGGTTGGTCTAGGGCTAAGCCAATTTTCATCTGTGATGCTAGTCCTAGGAGAATGACAAGGAGATTGTCTAGGTGACAAGGCATGCCCGAATCCATATGGTGGTTGCCAAGGTTCATCTACTGGACAGCCCCTTGGAGAACCTCCCGGAGATGCCAAAGGTGACCCAAGGGTAAACCGAGCAGCGGCTTCATTCAGTTCTGAATCCACATCATCATAAATATGAGACATTGACTCACAAGAGGAAGCATCTGAGAACCAGCTCCGGGAGGAAATGCTGCTGGCAGGACTTGGACTAAGGGATGATTCCCTATAAGCTGGCTCAAGAGGAAGATACAAGTGATCCCTTGAAGGCCTTTCCATATAGTCATTTTGAGGGCCATTTGTGTGCAATTCATTTTCACTGGCTTCAATTCCTTGATGACAGTTAGGAGAGATAGATGTAATTTGAATGCTCGGGCACTCAAAGGGCTTGGGACCACCTAGGGGACTGTATTTGGATTCAGGTACTTCACATGCTCCTTCATAGCTTTTATGACCCTGCAGTCTACTAGGTGAAGACAAAGGAGAAGGGTGTGACTGAAACCCATGACAAGGGCTACAAATAGGATGGTTTAGAGATGATGAGTGGTCTATGCTGAAGATACACACAGATGCACAATCATCAGGTTCAAGATCTGAAAAGGAAAGCAAAAGTCCAGTTACTACACCAAGGTATTTTATAATCTATTGTCAAACTAGCAATATTTTGGATATTTCTAGCATGTTCATTATCATCCAAGTGGGTTTTAAAATTTATATTTGGCTTTTCTATGAAGTTAACAATAGAAAACTTTTCTATGAAGTTAACAATGTTTCAAACATTAAAATAACATAAAAGAAGATGAAACACAGATAAAATTCAGATAATAAATTCCTTAAAAGAAAACCCTACAAAAATCCCTACAAAATCCCTTAAACATGACTTTCCAGCAGATTAAATAGTAAAAAGTCAATCCAATGAGTACCAAGTTGGTTCCCCCACTGCAAAATACTACACTTGGAACACACTCTGACATATACTCAGGACTGATACTGAAAGACCCAGGCTAACTATACTTGGAAATGGTCTTCTTAAAGTTCCCATATCATAGTGCTGGTCACACAACTGGCAAAGGTTTGCAGGAGAACTCATTTACCCAATCCTACAGGGATGCCCATAAGCCTTCAAATGCACAGGATTAGGGGCATCCTATGCAGAGTGGGACAAGCAGTAAAGCCAGGTTCTGCCTTCCCACTTTTCCTGCAAGGCAGCTAGACAGTCAATTTAAACACCTAACTACAGCACTGCAAATGCAGAGGGAAAGGAGCTGGAGTGCTATCAGGATACTTCGCTTCCTCTCTGTCCCCCAGAATACCCTCTTTACCCCTTCTCCAAGGTCACTCTTGCAACTTCAGAGAAGCAGCCAGCACAGTTCTTTCTCTGCCAGCTGCAAGGGGGAAAGGGACATCTAAGCACAACTCTTCAACTCTGCTACAGAAGTTTATATTCAAGCTGAATGGCACCTTTCCACAAAGGCATCTTGCTTAAAAGCATACCATCACTGAAGCAGAGAGCCTCATATTTAAAGACTTCAGTTAAAATTTATGATTGGTTAATTATTGCTAGTTTTAAAGCCAAGAAGCAGGGGCATTCACTCTCCTCCTCACAGCCATGCCAGCAGAAGAGAGGATAAGCAAGATCCCAAGGCTCACATAGGGCTTATTCACCCAGTACTAAAGGTAGCCTGATTTTTGAGCAGCAGATTCAGACTGTCCAAGCTATCATGAAGTATTGCACCAGCAAAATTCCACAGGCCTCTAGCAACCAAACAATACAAACACTTTCTCAATATTGTAGAACATATTTCTTCTTTGTATCAATATGTTAACAGTAAAAGTCCGGGTTCACACAATCGCCATGGCTTAAACAAATCATGGTGGCCCACAAACCACACTAACTACCTTTTGCCTAATTACCTGCCCAGGCACAGTTTTACATCATCCAAACCCAGCAGCATGGCTCGTCTGAAGGCAAAACAACCCTCAAATCAAGCATAGCATGTTATTTTAACCATAGTGACCTGCAAATCAAGTCACCGTGTCTGTATTTTGGATTGAAACTAACATTTTAGTCAGGGATACATTATCAATCGCAAAAGTGACATGCTTCCCCTCCACCCTCCATTCCCAAGCAACACCCCATACTTAAACAGGTCTGCACAGCCACCTCCACCAGTATGAAGGACAACAAATAGATACTTAAGATTGACATGCAAGACAGCATCATGTTTTTTTTAACAGGTTGATGCCTTCCCACTAAAGAAAATGTTGTAGGCAAGAGAGGCAAATCAATAACAGCAAGACCATTTATCTCAATGCACAGTTACTAGACAGAATGCCATTCTTGCATATAGTCCACATGACAATGCCCTTACATGTGGGGTCCTTCTGTGAACCATACCCACTGTACATCCGCATGTGGCACCCTCCCCAACATATGCATTACATGGTAGAACACACACATGTACAATTACCACTCCACGGTCCACGCACAGGTTTCCTACAAAGAAGTATCTTCTATATAAGAATTGTGCAACAAGTAACATGGCCTTTAGGACAGTAAACACTGCACTAATCCAATGTCACAGCAATGTCAAGATAAGCCTTCCACTGTTGTATGTACACATCCCAAACTGCATTTTACTGATGAGATGTACATCAGGAAGTGAAGTTAGGCTAATTCAGTTCCAGAGGCTGGACTGCTGTGAAAACAACACAGCCTTATCTAAACCTTATACAATTTTGCACACAGACATAGTTGCATTATTACATGCATAAAAGTTAATACAGACTTTATTTAAATACTAGCAGTACAAACACTCTAATTCTAGCAAATATACTAGCATTGTGCAGCAGAAAGCCATTATCAGGAGAATGAGATAATGCTAATATTGCCAATAATTACAGGCAGCCTCTGAATACAATAATCAGGATTCCAAAAACCTTATGCACTTGATGCAACTCCAAAATGTTTTATATCACCTCCTTTCGGCCTGTTAGCCTGTAGCAACTACACTGTACCACTAAGCATATAAAAACAATCATCTTTTTGCCTGTAGGTTCGACCACATAAATGGCAATCGTTCTATGAGCTGCAAAATTATTAATTTTTGTCCCAAAGTTGCAGGGGAAGGGGAGGTCGAACAGGCCAGACTGCTCATTGCTTCCAAAGAAGCCATCTTCACAATTCTACAAAGAGCAAACAGGCTTGCCTCTCCACAGAAAAGCAACAGTATCAAAATGGGCAGTAACTAAAACCAGTATAAGAACTTTTCAGTTTCCCAAACCAGTGAGATATTGACATTGAAGTGGCTATTCTTTAACAGAGGCACTTAAAAGGGAGGACTTCATGTGAAAATGCTGAATTAATCTTTATCAAGGAGTTGGATTCTAACACCTGTGGCTGGGATTGAGATTACAGGCGTAAGAATGTAAGAAGAGTCATGCTGGATTAGACCAAGGGTCTGTTCAGCACAGCTGAATAGTTCTGTTCAAACAGGGGCTAATCAACTGCCAATAAGGAGTCGAATGCACCAGGAATCTCTGTCCATCTTCTCCAGCAGCTGGTGTTCGTAGGCACACTGCTTCTGAAACTGGTGGTAATATATAACTATCAGGACTAATAACTATGAATAGTTTTCTCCTCCACAGATTTATTTGTCTGATCTCCTTTTAAAACTGCCAAAATGGTGGCTATCAATGTACCTTGTGGATGTGAATTCCATAGTTTTTAATATGCTCTCTGTGAAGCAGTCCTTCCTTGGATCTATCCCGAATCTCCCACCAATCAGCTTTATAGAAAAGGCCTAGGTTTTAGTATTATAAGAGAGGGAGAAAAATATTTCCCTATCTAATTTCTTCACAGCAGCATCTCTATTATGTTTGTACTTGGTCATATGCCTTATAAATTCCACTACAGATACATAATAGCTGACCAAAGCCAGAATGTGTATCAACACTACTTTGCATTTGGTCACTATAATTATTCTTCATACACCTTTCCTTAATGTAATTATCATTGCCTGTATTTTAATATGACTATTTGTAATAAATATTCTAGTATTCTTTATGATAATAGTATTCCATTATTTCATCCCCCTTAAAAGTCAATGGTAAAAAGGATTCTTCTTCATATACCCACCCATGCATGCATGCATGTATCTCTGCCAACTCAAGATGGCATTCTCATATACACGAATAGTAGGCTCTGAGCCACAAAAATGCATGCATAAAAACATTTTAACCTTTAAGATGTCACAAGCCTGTTGTTTTCACTCAATTATTATTTCAACCCAATCATACCTATGAGTACCTAACAGTTTTCAGAATTTAAGTGTTATTTACTTCAGAAACTGTTCAATACATTGAACACAAACAGCAAAACAGCTCCAGTTCTGTAGAAGTATTTCTTCGCCTTTATCCACTGCAATCATTATAGATGAGAAATAAATCTAAATATACACAGCAATATAATTATTGCAAATCTTCATGTTAATTAAATTGCAGTGGGCTAACCAAGTGACTGGCACTTGCATGGCCATGCTTTGCTCTCCATTTATGTCCATGTTCATACTTCAGGTGGGGAAGTGGGAACTGAAAAATATGTTTAATTACACAGGATTTTTCAAGGTAATACAAAACTGGGTGGTTGTACCAAAATATAGCTGAAACCATTTGCATAGGCCCATGGATTGAGAGAAATTCCCCACTGCATAAGTTTAGAGGAAATGACAAGTCATGCCCAGGCAGGTAATGAAACAAATTGCACCCAGCTCAAGCTGGCAAGCCAACCGCCATGCCTTCTTTAGGGCAGACTGGGTCAATTTATCTCAATGAAAGCCAACTTTCTTTTCCAGAAAGCCATTCTTCAGAGAGGATCAGTTTTAATTCCTCCATTCAGAAACACTCATTTTTTCCTGCTCCTAATTTCTTTAGTGTCTTCATTTTCTTGAATAAACTTGTTTAAAGAAGCAAAATACTGTTGTAAGTCAATCAGATAAGAATCAGATAAGTGTCAAACAGCAGACATTGCCTCTGGAATACTCCACTTGAATTATGTCAGATTCTTTGAGGGATTTTTGAGACTGCTTCCCTTGGTGGTGGTGGTGGTGGTGGTGTTTGAGAATACTAACCTAGATCATCCTGCTTAGCAACATCATTAACAGGAAGAGTAGCAACAGCCTGTATTCCCCATCCATTTCCCAACGTGATTATAGCAGCTTTAAAAAAAACAAAAAACAAAACAAAAAAAAACCCTTTCCCCCCATCTTCTGAAGGATTCCTTCAGTAATCTTACCTGAATGAGGAAAATAAAAAAGAATACAAACTTTAGAAAAATGACATGCAAGCTGATAAAAAGGACTGTGAGAGGAAAAAACAGAATTGGAGGAGGCATTACTAAAAGACCAACAGCATGAAATTATGGAAATGCATTAGAAGCAGGAAACTGGCTAGAAAAGCAGTTACACCAAAGAATGATAAGGAGATTGCTGAGAAGCTGAATGAATTCTTTGCATCTGTCTTCATCGTGAAAGATGTAGGGCAGATACCTGTGTCTGAACACAACTATCAAAAAACTCAAATGAAGTGAGGTAAA